TGCTGAACCTTGGCCCCACAATGACCAATGTTGTTGTTAAGAAATAACTGCCAATGATTTCAGAATCCAGTCATATTAGTGAATTACTGGTATGTTTCGACCAGCAGATTGCACTCTGACAAGTCTTGCCCAACCACGGTTATTGTAAGATGTAAAAATACACTTTTAGATGAGGAAAAATATTAAATTACAAGGAAAAGTGTTGGTTCACATGTGTAGTCGCCCCCGACAACCCTAGACCTATCACCTCTCCATCTCTCCTCCCCAGCATCAGAGCTGCTCTCATATTCTCCCAGTGCTCACTTTCACCCCACCCCTCTTTCTCATGAACCTCGCTCCCTCAGCCTCTGTTTCTCTCACCCTCCACCCCCACTCCCGCCATGTCCATCCCTTCGTCCCCCACTGACTGTGTGTCTCCAGGTCTTCCTGATTGGTCATGGGGATTTCCCATCATACTCCATTGCAGTGTGCTTATGTGTGAGTCTGTGTGTGTGACTGTTCACCTTGGCTGCGGGTGAGAAGTGTCAGCTGCATGACACTGTCTGTCTGTCTGTTTATTGTTTTTACACACAGACTGACACACATGTGCTTTTCACTCATGTTGTCAGTCTGAGCCGTGGAGAGCTCAGTCTCTAAGTCTGCTCAGAGACACTCAGTGTGCATCCCAGCCTGTTGGATTTGAGGCCAAAGGATTGAATTAATATTTGACTTTAAACAGGAGAGTCTTGGGATCTATAGCATTGTGGGGGAATAAACTGCCAACGTGATCCTCTTTTAGGAGGGAACTAAGCTTTTGGCCTTGTTGTTATGTGCTGGATAATACTGCTCACATTATTGTTTATATCAGAAAAACACAATGCAATGTGTAGTTTGTAAAATCTTGTTTATATGTATATGTTGCTACTAAAAGGCCACATTTCTGTTGAGGTTGCTGTCTTTTGAAAGGGTAGTGCTGCCCGATTGAGGGGCTAAAAACAATACAATTCTGAAAAACACCAATAACACATGTTGGATTGGCTGGGATGTATTTTCATTATCATGGACATTGGCACTGTAGTTTATAAGTCCCACATTCACCATTCTGCCGCCGTAAATACTCAATAGAGAATCACATTTGTACTTGTTTCCTCAAAACTACAGTGGCCAAAGGTTTTAGGAGATTAGTCAGCCTTTTAAAAAAAGTGGAACTATTAAGCCGTGAGCCATTTTTAAACATTAACCTCCTCAGTTATGTGCTTTGTTGACAATAACAAAAATAAAGAATGACATCAGCCTTTGTTACACAGCATCTAGCTGATATAAAATGAAAAAAACAAGAAATAAAATAAACGATATTAAAATAAAAAGTACAGACAGTATGCAATATGCTCACTATTCAAAGAAAAATCCTAAAACAAAGGATATAATATTAAGTATTTGTATTGGTCAAACTTTTATTTTAAGTGTATTATACAATCCTGTGCTGCATCATTGCACATTTACTTGATTTAACTAATCTTCCTTGTCAGTCTTTCTTTTTTCATGATAATAGCAAAGTAGCAGTTTATCTTATTAATTGTTGGAAGGAGTTTATAGAAATGTAGTCTGGATCACATGCTTGAGTCAGAAGCAACCAGTGGTCCCATGCTGCTGAGTTTTGACCCTAATATCTGTGGTTTTAACCCTTTCTGACACTCATAATCTCCATTATCTTTGAGGCTCTACTGGTCTCAGATCTGAGGTCTAGGACGGCAGGGGTCCAGAGAATAAAGTATGCTCGTCACAGTTGCCTCTTAGCAGATAAAATCAGTGACTGTATTGGTGTTGGAGCTGTGCGTAACGGCTTTGCATATGCGTGTGTGCATGTTTATGTGTGGGGTGGGGTGGGGGGGGTCTAACTGTCTGACACCTGCAGCTCTTCATACTCAAAATGCAAATCCAAGCCTGCACCCCCTCCACGACCCCTCCTTCAATCTCCGAGATCCAAGGTTACTGAGCAACGACTTTTCACAAATCTAGATCAGATTTAAATAAAAGCACACAAAGAGTTTCAACAGCACTAAACAAGGAGTTAAGTTGTTGTTGTTGTTGTTTTTAAGTAATATTAGAGGTACATTTTCTGATGTGTGGACCAACTTGCTGTTCATATTCACCTCAATGCATAACAATTACTATAAGATATTCTTTGATGATAGATAAGCAGCTGTTTTTGAGTTTACATTTTTTTTTTTTTTAATAATAATAATACAAGAGGCACATTTGCTGATTCAAAACTTGTATGTAACTTGTAACTCCCTCAGTCTACAATGTTACAAACCTTAACTTTCTAGTTGGTCAAAGTTTGTTTTGTTTGTGGAAAAGGAACTTAATTGTTATGTTCCCAACAAAAGAAAGGTTTAAATAATACATTTAAATTGAACCCATTTATGCCCGCGCCTGCACATTTAAAAATGGCTCAAAACAGCTAGAAAGTTATTTTTGTTATTCTTATATATTTCGTTTTGTTTGGCATGTGGGACTTTTTTTTTCTTTATATATATATTTTGTCATATTTTCAAGTTTCCATTTGAGAAAGAGTAAATATTGTATGATAAAAAACAAATGTATTTGAGAAACTACAAAGAGCACAAACAAGTATTTTATCAAATTAACTCATTACAAGTTGAATACTTAAATTCATTCACACATGTGCAGTATAAAGAGATATTTCATAAGGAAGACATTTTATAAAACAAGTCATCAGAAAATCCTGATAAATGTGTGATGTCTCATGTGACTTTAAAAAGTCAAAGATTTACTGTTAGATACTTGCCTACTGAAAGTATGTACACGATTCTGAGAAAGCTTAGAATTAAAATGCTTTAGAGAAAAAATATGTGATAATGATAAGTCTATGTGCAACTGCAAAACACACTACAACCTTTATGGGTCCAAAAGCAGGTGCAAGCCTCTGTGTCAGCAAGCATCTGCCTGACTGAAGTGCTGACGTGAACAAGATGCTAAATCCCTAACCAGCTCCAAGGGTGCAGCTGAGCGTGACCTCTGACCTGGCTGGTGGGAGCTTAATAGGAATATTTCCCCGTGGGGAACAAGTAAAGTGGTGCATTATTTTTATTGTTGAGAATGGAGTGTGGAGTAAATGAGGAAAAGCACCTGTTTCACTGGGTACCACATTTCGCTGTTGGGATGTGAGAGATGCACCCAGCTCTCTGGTGCCCCCCCCTGACTAAAAAGCACAACACAGTAGCATGGGGATGGGAGAGAAGAACTGCAGGGAAAGAAGGCGCCAGATAAGAAATCAGCCCAATTTTCTTTTAGTTTATCCAGTTTATGTTAGTTTACATCCATGCAAAACATTAAGATTAAATGTGTAAGAATCCATGTCTACGTAATTTTTTCTCCAACATGTTAGCAACAGGGTCACCATCTAATTCCATCTCCCTCACTTGGCAAAATAATAAAACAAAGTATAATTTTTGCGAAATAATTAATGAGATTATACTTGTTCGTGGCTGATACCACAGAAACGCCAGGTGTCTACATCATTTAAATATATCGATAGATGTTTGTAACATATCATTTTTTACAAATCAACATTATTTTCTTAAATGATTTTCATTGTTATTATGGTTTCATCTATCTTGCTACTAGTTCAATATTATGCTGTTAAGAAACATTTTGAAACTCAGTTTGCCTATGAATCAACACAGTCAGGCAGCGCCCCCAAGTGGTCATTAAGTGGCAGTTAGAGTCAAAAGGTAGTGGAACCTCAACAACAGTTATTATACTGTATTTTCATTTTAGTTTAATTTAATAAGTATTTGAGACTTTCTTGAGTTAAATATTTGTTTTCCTTTTTGTCAGGTAGCCATTCTAGCCCATGGCTCATTGAAAGCCATACGTTTTGTGATTATATGAATGAAGAAGTCTTGGAGACGACCCCCTACTGTAGGAAGGTGTTATTTCTAATGAGTCTTCAGCCAACTTGGCTTCGTTTTGGATCACATGACCTTGGATCATATTGCGTTTTCGTGTCCGATGTGCGTGCACGGGGCGGGGCACTGATGAACTCCCTCATGTCAAGTCACTGAGAGTTAGATTTCCGCTACGATATTTCAAATCAAAACGGACTTAAGGCTTGTGTTGCTTTTGGGGAGTACTGGCAGTGGCACCTTATTTTGAAAGTATAGTCTTTTCTGCTCTTGACTCCTGCTTTACATCATGCTGAGTTCACGCCTGTTTTCAACAGGTGCACAAAATGAATGTGCAGCAAAACTGTCAACGAGTTGAGGGAAAAACATTTTTTTATTTAAAATAAATGTGAGGGTGGAGATTTAATTGAATGCTTTCTTTCCTTATTTTTCTCTGGGGTACTACCCCATACATCCGAACTGTGAAGCATAATCAAAAGGGTGTTTTTGAAGTTACATTCCCATTATTCTAATACAAATTGGAATTTATTTTTGCATTGTCTGTAGTAAACATTACGCATCTTTTGGTGTGGAAATAATTACAAAGGAAATCACTGTGCATATGTCTCTGTATTTGTCAGGGTTTATCACACCTAAATGAATGGAATTAATGTCAAGAAATGGTCTGTACTTTGTAGGACGACTGTTAACAGTTCACCATATTTATTTCCATTCAAGAACACTATAAATATAGATAATTTATTTATTGTAAGGCTTCTAGAAACCGAACTGACCCACAAGTAAACGATTGGATAGATTAAAAAGATGTGGCCAGCAGAAATGACATTAGAATACTTTACTTTAATTAGCATTCGATTAGATAACTAATACATCTATGTTTTAAGAATAATCAAATTCCACATATTGTGTCCTTTAAACGTCCCCAGATTTTCCATTTCTTGATTTCGGCATCATGGCCGACGTCTTGAACTTTAACCTCGGAAATGTATTCTGCCTCGTCCAACTATTTGACTTAATGCATATCCATCACTCAAAATTCTCGCGATAAATGGCCCCCATATATAAGGGAAGATGAGGAGGCCTCGTCCACTTTGAGGGGCGTTGGGTTTCCTTGAGGACCTCGAAGAAGTTTCAGTCTCATATCTGCCCAGGAAAGATCCAACCATGTCGGACGCTGTGATAAGTTTCATGAAGGACTTTTTGGCCGGTGGCGTGGCCGCTGCCATCTCCAAAACAGCTGTAGCTCCCATTGAGAGAGTCAAGTTGTTGCTGCAGGTAAAATAATTTAACCAACAAATGCCCAAAGCATGCCCGCATCCTCAATCTTGTGTGCGTAAAGTGTGCGTAAATATGACATTACTGATAAACCAAACGCGAAAAATGTACATTTAGAAAAGTTTGAATGGAAAAAAAGTCCAACTATGCACTTTGTAATTTAATCTGGTCTGGTGCGTAAAGTTAAGGGGCACGTGAGAGCCTCTGGCTCAGTGTGAAGATGGTTTACGGACAAGACTTCGCAACGTTGCTGTGCCATGATGCCAATGACAACTTCTAAAATGTGTCAATAAAATGGCCATAATAGTAGTTTATGAGCTATTGGTGCGTTTAGTAGGGTAATTATCACTTTAATGTAACAGACTAGCTCAGTAATATTTATTTAAATTGTATTGCTAAATTTAACTTGAACTATGTAATGTAATACACAGCTGATTCTCAAATGACAGGAGCATGCATTCATGTAGGCTTCTAGGCATACAACTACACACATTAAAGCCTGGCCGACTAAGATTATGTTAATACAATAAAGTATTTTAATTGGAATACAATACTATTTATTCTGTTGTTAAAGTGGAGTGTGACAACGTTCCTTTAGGCACATTTAAACAGGAGAATGAATCAGATTTTCAATGGGATTTTTTGTATCTTGTAAATTGTGTAACTTGCTGCAGTTAAATACCATCATACTATGTGCAATATGTGCTATGTGCAATATATACATTATATACATATGCCATTAATAACCGTGTAATATATACCTGGCTGCTAAATCCTAAAAACTGTTACAGGATTTGTATTTTGGAAAGTATTTTTCTTTTACTTTTATTTTTTATATTATATTTTTATTATATCATAACTTAGTACTTTTTTCTTAACATAGGTAACATTAAGCTGTCTGTGGCTCTTTCCTGCTGCAAATGTCCCCTCTGTGGGACTAATAAAGGTATTCTGATTCTGATTCTGATTCATTGTCTTTTCCTTTAGGTCCAGCATGCCAGCAAACAGATTACCGCAGATATGCAGTACAAGGGGATCATGGACTGTCTCAGAAGGATCCCACAGGAACAAGGCTTCATTTCCTTCTGGAGAGGCAACCTGGCCAACGTCATCCGTTACTTCCCCACCCAAGCCCTGAACTTCGCCTTCAAAGACAAGTACAAGAAGGTCTTCCTCGGTGGTGTGGATCAAAAAACACAGTTCTGGCGCTACTTCGCTGGCAATCTGGCATCTGGCGGTGCCGCCGGCGCGACTTCGCTCTGCTTCGTCTACCCTCTCGACTTCGCCAGAACAAGACTCGCTGCCGACATCGGCAAGGGCCCGGCTGGGAGAGAGTTCACCGGTCTTGGAAACTGCCTCAGCAAGGTCTTCAAAAGCGATGGCTTCAAAGGACTTTACCTCGGATTCAACGTGTCAGTGCAGGGCATTATCATCTACAGAGCCGCATACTTCGGATGCTTTGACACAGCTAAAGGTGCGAAAACCTGACTTAAATAAGGTTTTTAACGAGTGTATATTTTGTATTTCGGGATGAGTTTGTAACTTTAATCTCCCCTCATACAGGTATGCTGCCAGATCCCAAGAACACGCACATCATCGTCACCTGGGCGATCGCCCAGACTGTCACCGCTGCAGCTGGCATCATCTCATACCCCCTCGACACCGTCAGACGTCGTATGATGATGCAGTCTGGACGCAAAGGAGGTGAGGTGTCACTCGTGCATGTAGAACAATGTTCTCAGAAAGATGGATATGGTTAGTGTGGCGCAATTTACGCATGCACCCGCATAATGTTTCACTACCATGTCTCCATTTCCACAGCTGACATCATGTACACGGGCACAATGGACTGCTGGAGGAAGATCCTGAAGGATGAGGGAGGAAAAGCCTTCTTCAAGGGAGCCTGGTCCAACGTGATCAGAGGCATGGGTGGTGCCTTTGTGTTGGTGCTGTACGATGAGATCAAGAAGTACACATAAGAGACTTCTCCCAGTCCCCAAGGAAACCCTTCACTTTGTTAAGGTCTTATTTCTTGTAATCGAGTGACAACATCTTGTGGTGAATTACAATGTATAGGCATGTACAGGTAAACTGTTGACCTGGGTTAACATGCCTCCTCAGAAATCTGTATATATCCCATCTACAACGCACAGACTGCCTTTCAGTGTGACAGAAGTCAGTGTTTCAGTTGCTGAGGTCCACGTGTTGTTATGTTGTGACCCCTCTGACCCATGAATTCAACCTCACCTAATATTTTATTAATAATAAAGATGTATTAGTCTAATATTCCAGTATTTGTGATGCTTGTTCTGTTTTCGCAGCAAACCACCATCAGTTAAATAGGAACTTTTCAGAGCAGGCCATTTGACATATAGCAGAACAAGTACAGCCTTAATTAATGACAATAACAATGGCCCTGTGACTCAATAAGCCATGACAGTGTGCCATCATGTATAATAACAGATCCCTGAGAATAAAACAGCTAAATACAATTTAGCCATCATCAAAAAAATATCCACAATCTTTAAATTGGAAAGTAATTGCACTTTTGGTAGACAAAGCAAACATCTGCTAATACATCACCAGAAGAAAACAATATTAACCACCTGAAAGGTTTGTACCACAGCATTATTGTTTTTTTTTTGAGAACTTTTTTATAATATCAAGAGTACCACAGAAATATTTGGAGTAGTTTCATCTACAACCAATCTAAAAGCCTATTGTTTGTTTCAATTTTGCCACATGGGATCAGTTTGTACAGGTACGTTTTAGGAAACGAGAATATAATTGTTTTGGTCCATTATTCCCCAATTTAAAGTTGGAAACTAATTGCTCGATCAACCAGCTTAGTTTTTGAAGGCACACAATATACATAACACCAAATAATATTTCAAATAAATATTTAATTATTCTTATGTGCATCATAAACTGTACAAATATGAACAAAAGTGGGAAAGGAAGAAATACAGATGAAATGGCATCATCACTCACTGGAAAACAAGTTTATTTTTCATCATGGCTGTGTTCTGGTTTGGCTGCACTCGTTCTCTTTGTCCGGGGTACGGGTGTATCACCAGGGTCAGGTGAGGGGGAAGCTGCACTGGAGCTGTGGGGGGCTGAACTGCCCGGCCTGGGTCCTGCTGCTGTGAAATACAGAACAATATTTGCAGATTTTAGATTTACCGATTCATAACGAAATCAGAAGACATTTTGAGTCCAAATTTCTGTAGAGAAAAACAGATATTTGATAATTTCATCCATAAAGGGCCAAAACGATCGGTTGCAGTACAGGTAAACACGCACAAGCACAAACATGTTTATCAGAGTCTGTAAAGAAAGCAAGCTGATGATGATTTAAAGTTGGACACATGAACCCAACAAGGATTTAATGTTAACACAATTTGAAGAAACAGGAAAAAGTATTAACAGATACTCAAATACGTTTTCTATGAAAATAGCATTATAAATTAATCTGTTATTAGATATGTATAAATGGGTGATTCTTACCAGAGTCACTCATCAGCTGCTTTTTAATGTCTGAAATTCTTCTTCTGTTAATTAAATCTCTGCAGCTATCTGAAGGCAGCAGCAGACATGCGCCATACATCTGCAGCTTTCATTCTAGGAGAAGCCTCGCAGCGCAGTGCCACATGCTGATCCTCTTTGTTTACCTTGATTAGATCATCACATGCAAACGCCAGCAGGCTGCTACAAAACCACTCCTGCTGGTGTCAAACTGCTCTTGTGGGATTAAAACACTCAGTGGCAGCAAAGGTGTGTTTATGGTGTGCAGCTTCCTCACGAGTGTGTCTGTCTTTAAGTGATAAAAACATCTCCTAGCCCTCGTGTTTTAGATACTGTACAATAGGTAGTCCTAATATGGCCAATAAGGCACATCATTGTTATTTAAACTGTTTTATATCTGTTTGCGGACCTTGTATGAGCAGGTACTCAATCACCATGTTCTTATCCTGTTTAAGGTATCTAACATATCATCTTTAAAAGCAGTAAAAGGCAGATCTGGATTAACATTACCTACCTGAGGGCGTCTTGCTGGGAGACTTCTTTTTCTTGTTGGTGGACATTGGGTATGATGAAGCTCCGAAGTATGCGGCTTGTCGCTGGAAGTCCTGCAGTTGTTCTGAGCGTTTCAGGCCAGGCGTCGGCTTGGCGATCTGCAGCCTCTTCAGGAGAGCCTGAACCAAAACACAATGACATTAGTTACCTGGAAGGTGGTGATTCATACATGCAGTACATTGTCATTATCTTGGCAAACTGGTAAAACAATTAGGTTTAACGTGGGTACTTCAGGATATCAGACAGGTTCACTTTGGAAAGATTTCAGCATATGTAAATGTGGTTTCGTTTTTGTAAGGAATCAGAATCAGAATCAGAAACGGGTTTATTACCAGGTAGGTTCACACGTACGAGGAATTTGACTAGGTGTCGTGGTGCATACACACAAATTAAAAAACAAAAATGTAAAAAAGAACACAGATAGTGAACTATATTAAGAATACTGTAATACAAATATAGTAAGATAGCAATAAAATAAAGCAGCAATTTATATTGAAATAGAATGCAATAAGTTATAGAATGTAAAATATGTGCAGTAAGAAATATTGTCAACATTGTGTTGACAATATTTGTATTCATTACTGTGAAGTGCTTTATTATACATAATTAAACACAATTACATTTTGTATAATTAAAAAAGGATGAAGAGACCCTCTAAGTATTTTGTTCGAACAAATGCATAAAACGCAGCAGGACTTTTATGTGAACGATAAAACATGTTGTAGCATTTGATATATTTGCCCAAATGTAATCACATTTGTTTTGTCTTTTAACAAACATAACTTCAAACCACATTTATGAAGGGTTTATTTATTTTGCATATCCCAAGCATGATATGATCATAGAAAAATATCTGGTACTTCATAGCAAACACAATCAAACAGCATGATGCAAAACAGTGTGGGCAAGTGGCTGAATGTCATACGTGCAGTCACCCTCCCACGTGCATGCTGTGCAGAAATCTCTCAGTCAGCAAAAACTCCACATGAAGCAACACAGCTAACAAAGTTTACAAAGTCCACCTGAGGTGATAAAAATGCAAAAGTGAAGACAGACTGGTCACTAAATCAATCACTTGTTTGAGGATATATTGTGAATTTGAACAAACTTGAACCAGTTTGAATTGTGCAGGACAAACGTGGCGTCTTACTTGATGTGTGGGGTAGGGTGGATACACTTAATACAGTGCAGATTTAGTTACTTCACTCTAAGAATAGAGAAGGCGAAAAGCACTTCTGACAACGTTGAGACATGGACGCAAGGGAAAGAACTGTCTGTCCTGAAAATGACTGGAGTACATTCCCTGATAAAACATCACTCAGCAATATGGGAGATCTCAAACTAATAATAATAATAATAGCATGAACCACAAGTGAAGAAAATAATGCTAGTGTTCAGCCTACACTTGTCAGAGCAGACGATAACACAGTGCTTGATGTCAATTATAAGTCTCAGAATGATCTGAACACTGCAGCTGGTTTGCTTCTATCACAATGTGGTTAAGCAGGTCATTTATGGGGTGAGAGCGCAGACTGTGTAGTGAAAGGCCAAAGCTGCAGAGGCTGAACCGTCTTTTAATGTCAGTGTGAGGCGCTGCCGGCCTGCCACCTGCTGCCATCTGTCCCAGTCCATCAGTGTCTTCTTTCAGGGGGGTGGCACTCTTACCCCGACACTAACTCACCCTAACTAACTAGAATCTTTAAAATAATATAAACTTCAGGAGAAGAGAATGCATTAAAATAATGATGTAACAGACATCCACTTAGGCTAAAAGGTACAACAATATGGTACTCAATTTTATGCTTGTGAATAATGACTTGAACTTCAACCTGCAGATTCTAAAGGTTTTCCTTTCTGCTTCTACAGTAGTTTAGAATACATATTTATTATTTCAATTAGTGCATCATGTACAGTACTGTCAAATAATTCATTCAAAAATAAAATGTACTGAGTTGAGTCTTACAAAATGTGTAAAGATGCTGTAATAGATTAATTGTGGGGTGTTATGGAAATTAGCAATAGATCATTTAAGAAATGAACCGCAGTATGTTCTTATTGACAGCAATGAATGAACAGTTGAGAACATCCACTTTGGATAGACGGTATGTTTTAAATGAAAAATCTGGATTTGTTTTTCAAGAAACACAACAGCGCCAATGTAACCTACCAACAGATACTAAAGCATTTTACATTTTTATTTCAGAATTGTTTTAATTCACCACAATGATTTGTTTTCATTTTTGTATTCACACTGCTCAAGACAAAAGCAAGAGTGTATACAGCGAATGAGGTTGTAATGAACTTTAAAACATATTGTGCTACTTACCTGGTACAGGAGAATCTGATAAACCAAATTATGATGTATATCTCATTACATATATGTTGTAACATTGTGAGCATGAGGTGAACGTCAACAACACTGATCTACAGATAATAAAACCACCGACCTAAAGAGAACGTTCTTTCAAAACTAACTTTACTTTAAAGAGCACTGAATAATTTATCTTGAAAAGCAAAAAAGAAGAAGCTTGCCTTGCCATTTAAACTAATGTTTAGGGTTTAGTGTTATTGTAAATATTGAAATGAGTATTGACCCCCAGAAGCAGAACTCACCAGGTTGTCCCTCTCGATGCGCTGCTGTTCCCGCTGCCTGTTCAGTGCGCTGTGAGAGAGTCGGATAAACGGCGACTTGCTGGCCGGATGGATTTTCTTCCTCGCGCTGCTTCCTGGTCTTGGTGCTGGAGAATGGCGCGAGATCTCCCGAAGAAGACGATGGTTCTCCCGTTCTATGCGTTGAGCCTCATCATTGCTGAATGAGTAGTTCTTCCTGATTCTCCGTCCAGGATGGCGGAAGACCAGTTCACCTTCAAGATGGCTGTCTGTCCTGAGGGAGCCTGATCAGTGAAAAGAACAACTGTTACAGTTTCTTAATCTGCATTTTAAAATGTTTTATTCAATGTTTTTAATGTTATGCTTTATGCAATGTTTTAATCGTTTTTTAATCAAAGGTGAACCAGGTGCGGGTTACAAATAAACTACACTGAAAAACTGAATCTTCAAACCTTTAAAAAAAAGCCACATTTCTATAGCATAATTCAAAGGGTTGTATATTTGTATAGACATTTTGAATAACTGAAACAACATTTCAAAATGTCTAATGATTAAAGTATTATAACAGGTAATACAGTATAATACTAAGCATGCTTAGTGCAAATTATTCCAGATGTTAGGTGTGAGGAAATATAGTCTCTTGATGTTAAGTATAAACCTATTTCTGTTATGTTATAAATAAGAAGTAAAGATTACCAAATCTGAGAGTAGCAACAATGTTATACTGTACATAGTCTGACATAGTTCACCTCTTTGGTCTTTGAAACTTATTTGAATCAAACTACTTGAGAAACATTATTCACTTATTTTATGAACTGCTCAAAAATCCTGTCCACACTAAGGCGCTTACTAGCAATAAGGTGTCACTAGAAGTGTTATTTAAGTACTTTGTCATTTGTCACTTGTCATCAAAGTAATTTTACTAGCCTTTTTTTCTTGCAAAAATGTCAGATAATGTGGTTTTAAGCCTCTCAAATGAACACTTTCCTGAGTTTCTCTGTTATAAAGCATATTAAACTGAGAATCTTTAGGTCTTGCAATGCCAAACAAGATATTTAAAGATAACACATTGGACTCTTTGAAACTGGGATGAACATTTCTTTCTATTTTCTAAAATGTTATGGGCCAAACAACTAATTGTTAGTTTTTGGCCTTGAGGTAGGTAGATATTGCTTAATTTAAAAAGGGAAATACAAACAAAAAAAGCCTGAGCAGTGTTAAAGAGCACAGCAAACATGTTTACTCACACTCGTCCACATCCTGGTGCATGTCGCTTAGGCCACTGGAGGGCACCCTCTCCTCCTGCCGCTGCTCTTTAAGGCATCCCTCTGTGTGATTCAGGTCCAGCGACTGGAGAGGGCTGGTGTCAGGAGAGGAGAGGCGGCTAACATTTGTCACTGTACCCTCTGTACGGCCACCCTGAGATCCTGCTGAGCCCCCTCTGGTCTTACCTACTGCAGGTGTTTTGTTGGGCCTGGGAAGGGTGTGTGAATCTGGACTGCTTCTCCTACTGCTACTTCTAGAGGAGCTCTCTGAGTCTGCACCTGCACTACTTTCACTGAAAGTAGGGGATGTACGCCTTTTTGAGGACTTACTGCCATTGAGTACTTTATCCAATGATATCCTGGATTCCATGCTTTTATCTTCTCCCTTTAAATGAGAGCTGTTTTCTTTTCTCTCATCTCTGCTGCTAGTGTTGTTGTCGTCTATCTCCAGATGTTTTCTGGTCCCATCAGTCTTTTGGGACCCACTGACTTTTGTATTTTCAATTGGGTTTGGTTGTAGCCTCTCGTGTGCTGGTGGGCCCTCCTTTTCAGCCTTCCCGCCTTTCTCCAACTTTTCCCCTCCATCTTTGCTGGCACTAGTATCTTCACCATCACTGTCGAAAAACGAATGGTCCACTTCACCTTCTAGTTCACCGGGGCTCAACATGGCAGTCCTCCCCAACAAACTGAACCTGTAAGGTAGTGCATGATGTTAGTATTTCATGTATTGCATTGTATTTGTTGTCTACGTTTCAAGCTGCCAAGGGACTGGCAAGGAGCTAGTTGCTAAATCTGGTACAATGCATCTCCCCTCCTTATGCTGTTGTATGTAGCCCTTGACCAATAAATACAATAATAAATTAAACTGACATTAGAAAAAAGGCAATTCAGACGTGATGCTATTTGTTGTATTGGATTATACAGTAAATCTATCTATATAGCAGGTTTCAAAACATTTCTTATTGACAAACCATAAATGCAAAACAATGGATTAATACATCTCAGAACAAACAACTCTAAAAGATGCATTAAAGATTCAGCAAACATTTAAAACAAATACTACTCACGACTTGTAGTTAAGGTTGTAGCTAAAACTTGCAAACACATGTGCATGTTACTTGCATGGTGTGGCATATTTGGAGAAAGACTGAGGTTAAGGTACTGTAACAAACTACACTTTACACCGTAAATCTATTATCCACCATGGAAACGCATGTTTTAAACCTGCAACACATCACGGTACGTTCCAAGTGTGATGCTAATTTATGTAGCTAATAGTCAAACTATGGATAGTATACGTGTTAGCTAACTTTAGCTGTATGACAAACCGCATCTTACCTGGTAAAGGGTCGCCCGGTAAAAAGGGGTTCGTGTTACAGTTGCATTAACCTCGTTAGAGATTAGGAGACAAACGAATTAAACGCAAAACCGCATTAAAAACAAATCTTCGTTAGCGTGCTTCAGCTGGCTGCTGTCAGCGGGACATGGTGCCTAGTAACCAGGCAACGTCACTTCCTGGCAACGACTGCTCTCGTGCAACGGTCTGCAGTACGTTTTTTTTTTAAGTTTTCTTTCTTTTCTTTCTTTCTTTTATGTAATTTGTATTACTTTATAGGGCTATCCCTGGTTTTAATTGTTTGTATACAATATATATCATGTTCATATATGCTCTTGAATAAATAAAGGAGAAAAAAACCAAAAAGGTAGTCTATTTTAAAGAGATTTCTCACACAGAGATTTGAGTTCCTTTATTTTTTTTCAAATATAGAAAAGTATGATGGAATGAATCACGCTGGGCATAATTATTAAACGTGCTTCTGTATTTGGTTGGAATCATGTTTTTTATTGGTATAAAGACTAGGAAATGCATTAAATGTATTTTGTACTTCTTTCACCACAGATGAAAAGACAACTCTTTTTTGGGGAGTTTACCTTTAAATACTTTTGTTAGTTTGTTTTTAGTGGTGAAACGCCTGAAAATGTATGTTTCAAACTTGTTTTCTTTTTAGCAAATTCTATATACACTCTATATAAACCCAGCATATACAGTTTTCTTTGTAATGATATCTGTAGCACAATATCCAAACACTAATTTGTAAGTCGCTTTGGATAAAAGCGTCAGCTAAATGAAATGTAATTTATATATATACAATTTTTCTTTCATATTTTTACTGTACAATGTTCTAGACTATATTTATGTTTCTTTAATTTAGCTGATTATTTTTTATTTACCAAACCACCAAGACAAAACATTTGTTTAAGTCTACTTGGCAATACAAAGTTTAAAAGGTATACATTCAAAAGTATCTGGTAAACTAAGCAACTCGAAAGCACAGTATACAGAGGACACTATTTTAAGGAGTAACCACATTAAAAAAAAAAAAAACACAGCAGTGATTTCTCTGTCATCTAAAGGTTTAAACTACTTAAACATATCTAGAATCAGAACAAGTAGTGGAACAGACAAGAGGTCATCTAGTTTTTCCTTGGAAATCTATTATGCCAAAGTAACTGCTCCCCCTAGTGCATACCCATTAACAAGAAAGGGGATTATCTGAAGGCGCGTCCCCTGACATTATAATTTGTCACGGGTTTTCTCTTAATAACATTGTTAGAGCTAGAAGTGACACACACTAATGAAATTCCAATATCCTAGCACAATAGGACTTGGGTGAATCTATCGTATAAACCTGTGTCTGGTCACTGTCATAGAATTTACATGCCTATGCAGGATGGGTAGAGATGGGAATTGAAAGGGGGTTCATTCTGTGGCGTCCCGTACTACAATCAGCCAATGGAGAAGAAATCACAAAGAGTGACAATACATCTCTGAAAAATGAACTGTCTGGTCTACGCTCAACAGATTTTAAAGAAAATTCAACATTTTATTATGTACTGTTGAGAAGAGGAAAGCATCCATTTGACTCTGACAACTGGCTGGTTATGAAAACTCAATTACAGGGACTGATTGTTTTCTAATAATGGGCTGTGTCAGACATGCTGCATTCAGGCACAGCTTCTTCTCTACTCAAGTTGTTCTTAGAATAAGACCAAGGGCGCCTGGGGGTCCTTAATGTTTCCAGAAGGTCCTCAGCTAAATGAGGATTAGTGTAATTTCACTGCAATATATTCACTAGCAAAGATATTTCATTTATTTCACTAATTAATACAAAACAATAATCCTTCAATTTAGGTGTCCATAGAAAAACAGATATTTGTTTTAGGCATGCATTATTTGGTTGTCTGTAATAGGGCTGACAAATAACTATTATCTTATGTAATTCAAAAGTAAAGTAGAGAATCTTCAAGGTATCAAATGTGAAGCTAGAATCGAAGAAAATGTGGCATGCTTTAAAAGATAGCCAAAAACAATAAAACAGATGAATAAATTAGTTGATCATCTCTTGTATTACTTAGAAACAAATAAATAAGGAATTAAGAAAAACTGATGACAAAATGTTATGTACAGTTAAATAATCTATAAAATCAGTCATTTGCGTACTGTTTTATGCACTGGTAAGAAATGATACAACTTTGTTGATTTTTATGAATTGTATACCTGATTTAATAAACCTATATGGTATTCATATTTTACTAGCCTTTTTCATATAATGGCAAGTACAGAAAGCAGATTACATTATATAAATCAATTTGTTGTTTCAATACTAAATTACATCCATCTTTAATTCTTCCATTCGTGTTAAGACAATACTTTATGTAGGATATGACCAAAGCTATTAAAGTTAATTACATTACAATTTAACATCATTACAGAAATGACTTGCAAAGCTGGAAACATTTCTGTAAAAGTAGCAGACAATAGTGTCACTCTAAAGTTTCACAGATGCTTTACCAATGTTAGATGATGCCCGTATGAAAGGCTATGACAGCTCAGATGACCTTTGGCCTCTGAGGCAGACACAGATTATAATAAGCAGTTTGGTCCCAAAAATCTGGTCCTTTCCAGCCACACCAGCCCTGGGAAAGATAAGATACCAAAATCAATACAGCACATTATGTGAAAATGTGTACTTGACAGAGAGGAATGCAGCCAGTGCAGATGCTTGTAACAGTTACCTTGTCTGTGATAACCTGTAAGTCCTCCGCTCCTGTGTAATGGGGATCGAGGATAAGATAGCGGATCTGTCCAGTGGTCTCACTCCATGCCACACCTAGAATAGTGTGAGCTAACACTCCCCCACCTGCAAGACAGGAACAATAATGTGAAAAAATACATTGCAATGATCTCATGAAAAACAAGATCAGACAATCAAATGTTGCTTAAAGGTCCCATGTCATGGCCATTTATACTGATCATATTTCCATTGTTGAGGTATACTAGAATAGATTTATATTGTGCAATTTTCCAAACTCACATTGGTTTCTCATACAGCATCTCTGTATAGTATGTGTATTCACTCTCTGTCCTAAACGGCTTGTTGGAGCTCCTGCCCCCCCCCCCTGTGAGCCCACTGTGCTCTGATTGGTCAGCTCGCCCACTATGTTCTGATGAGTCCACCACCGTTACAGCGGAACATCAGTGATTATGTGTTACAATGGCGTTAGCAACCAGAAAATGACACCAGTAATGACAAACAGATGAGAATGCTGCGTGGGGTCTGGGTGCCGTGTTGGCGGGACGTTGCGTGGCTCGCTGCTGCAAGGAGCGGACAGTGTGAGCTGGGTTCATTTCCTGCTTGCTGCGTGGGGTCTGCGAGACATCGCGAATGGACGCGGGAAGGGGGGGTGCTGAGGGGGCTGCAGCACCCCCATCTGCGAGGCTCCACTAGCACCCGCAACCCCCCCCCCCGCACCCCCAAACACGGCGCACCTACAGTGTAAGCGCGCCACAGTTTCACCGCTGCGAGGCTCCACTAGCACCCCGCCCCCAGCGCGTCACAGTTTCGCCACTGAGAGAGTGTGTGTGTGTGAGGAGCTCCACGGATTGGTCCATTTGGGTATGGTCACGTCACTGTACCCAGGAAGAAAAAGAGAAATCTCCAACGAGGCGTTCTGGAGCAGCATAAACAGGTCTTTTCTGTGTTAGAGTTTGACTCGCTACAGGGTGTACTTTGAGGGTTTGTGACTTTGCAGACCGTTTACATGCAGAAAAACCTTCATAACACACAAGGGGACGGGAAAAGCATGACATGGGACCTTTAAGTGTAGGAGTTATAATTGTTTAAAGGTTGTTTAAAGATCCTCTTCTTTTACAGAAAATGCTGTAACGGTTTTAAGTTTACATTTAATTAGCCATATAATTGGCATTTTAGGGTAAATTATTACTTTTTTTGACCAGCTATAAACTCTATGTTGCTAAAGAGTCAGTGTTAATATTGCTAAAGATGAAATGATCTGCATTTATATGGAAATATATACACAAAGTATTTTATGGTTTCAGTTTTTCATGATCAGTTTATGTAAAGTTTTGAAATGTTTCAGATATCCAGCTTACCGATCATGATGGGAGTCCCTTCAGTCAGGAAGTGGTTGGCCAGTTCTCTGCCCTTGGATGCCAACTCAGAGCCTTGACTAAAGAGTACAAACATTTATCATCAGATGAGTCCAAGTCGTGTTGAATAAAGTACATCCTCATACAATGGGTTATCCATAGGATTCACACAACACACCTCACAAACATGATCTTTGAGGTGACCTCCAGCAGCTGGTTCAGAACAACCTGAACCTCAATGGAGCCGATCCACTGCCGTGATCCAACGAAGGAGCCCTGTTTGTCTCCAACATCCACTAAAGTCTGGAAAGTTGAAAGCCAATTAAGAGCAGCCATTTCGGACACTTCTAATATTTTGTGTGATATGTAAAAGCCCCACTACTGTACCTGTTGGATTTCCCTGTGGGTGGGCACGGCTCGCTCTACGTAGCCTTGCTGCGTGAACCAGGAGCAGATAGTCTGCAGCGAGCGATAAGCGCAGCCCCAGCCGTTGTCATCCATATGATCCTGCATGTAGTGGTGATAGCTGTAGACCCCCTGCACCAAGTACACCTTGAGAAAACACACACACACAAAATAAAAAGTATGTTTCAGTATCCATCTTCTAAAGGGGAATTAGAATGTAACAGATTTTAATTTGTAATGTGCCTCACCTTTCCGTTGTCCAGCGTGGGATGTGTGAGGACCATATGAGGATTTCGGAGGTAGCCATCTTTGTAGGGCTCATTGGAAAAGTGGAAGGCATTCGCTCTCCTAAAATAAGGCCAGTCATCTGGTAGCTCAAACTGCTGATGCAGTTCCTATTATGACAGAGATATTGTGTCCGATGAAAAACACTCTAAATTGCAGCCCTATGCTAGAGGGGTTAAGATTATAACAAGTCAGAGAAACAACATGTCGCCTGTTTGTTATTATTTGAGAGAATCTCAGTCTTACCTTACGATGTGTCTCTAGTTGGCTGTCAGGCACTCCTGCAGGGTAAACCACGGTCACCAGTCCTTTGGGTTCTGGAAGGAGGAAGTGGAGCGGCTCAGGTACCAGCAGTGTGGCCCCCTTCATGTGTTGCAGGGTCACTTTCTCCATCTCACACAGCTGATGAGTCAGCACCTCCAACAGGCGCTCAAAGGCACTGCAACACAGAAAGAAACGTTCACAGTGGGCACAACTATTCATGGTGTGTCAAGTGTCTGACTGTGTCAGAATGTTTTAACTGATATCAAATCAAATGCTTTTGAAATAATGCATACTCTTTGATTGTGTCGCTGCAGGTGGTACGGACCACACAGTCCATGGGAAGAGTTGTAGACAGGAAGTGGGATTTCTGCAGTGTTCTCCTGAGGATTGGTGCTGAAAGAGGGCCTGTCTTTGTCGCCTCCATCATCAGGCGAAGGTTAATGACACTCTGAATGACAAGGTTGAAGTTACATTCAAGCACACCCAGACACCATACAAGTAAGGCATAGTTGAATTACCTACAAAAAATGTATCAGCAAATATCTTCATTATCAATTATTTGTATGCAAGTATTTCTGCAAACTGTGACAAGGCACTTTTTCAGGCATTTAACAAACCTTCCAATAGTCAAATTAATTGGGAGAAAAACTAAATATATTCTATATCTACAAAATATTGCTAATATGGTGGTTAACATGGGGAGAATAATCAAGAGGGAGTGACGATTTCCCCCCCATTAGCACAGTTTACAGCATGCTGCAAAATACAACTCCTAACTAGCTTCATAAACTAAACAGTTACAATACATACCGCTGCTGAACTTTTTTTGTTTTTCTTTTTAGAGGATCTCTTCCCAGCGCTCTCTTGTTCATCAGTCCTGAAATAAATAAAAACATTAAACCACAATTCAGCCAAATAAAAAAACATTTTCAGATGAGAAAGAATTTTTATTTAAAAAAAAAGTTAACTTACTGAATCCATTGATGTATATCTTCACATAGTGTGTTCGGAGTTAATTCTTCAGGTGTGACATATACCCCTTTGTTCGGCCAAATAATAAGAGAACTGTCACAGACTGTCAGGACACAGGATTCAGATTTCACCTGAGAGTGAAGCGTCGCAAATGTTCTCGAGATGACTTTCTGCATGAGCAGTGCTGAAAGAAGAATTACACATAGAAAATATTAGTCTTTTCCAAATACTACACGGTTTATACATTCCACTTTGCTGGTAATTTAATATTCTTCTTGCCATATGTATTTTTATATATGAGTTATATCCTTTTGTTCATTTTAAAACAAATGTAAAGGTTTGTGTGAGACCGCACTTTTTGAAAGTTTATTAATCTTTACCTTATAAGCACCATTAGAATCTTACCCTCAACATTTTACTTGGTATAATATCAGTTCTAGTGAATTGCCTCCACCATATTACAAAAAATACAACCTGTAACAGGGCCATAGAAACCACTGAGGACAGGAAAGTTTGTGGTTTTGTTTCAGGTATATTTAACATCTCTACATTTACATATTTATTATTTAAAAGGCATGGTTGTGGTCCTGCTTGTTGTCCTCTGAAAGTTACATATTGGGTTGTGGAGACTTGGAAACAAATGATACAGCAGTAGAGAAGAACACAGAAACAGCAAGTTGTGATTAAGACAGAGACTGAATTGATGCTATTCAAACTTTGCTTAGGATCACATTAACCCTTATGATATCCAAATTTGAGATCCACTACGTTCAAAAACAGTGCAGTAAAATCTCCATGAACATACCATCTGTGCTGTCCAGCAGACATTTAAACTCCAGCGGCCCTCTGACACGAAGGATAGTGCCTGAGTCGGAGGAATCTGTAACAACCTGAGGTTAAACCAAGAGAAGTAAATAACCTGAGAGAGAACCAGCTGACAGAGTTAACAACATGTTAGTGTTTGACTGCCAACCACGAAGCGAGGGGCCACTGCCAGCTGACAGTAATATATTACAGAATAAAAAAGCAGAAGAACAGATGGGAATATGAACGATTAGTTGTCAGCTTATATTTGTAAACTGACCATTTTGTTCGAGTTGAATCCAGTTCTGTAAAATCAAGAAGATATCTCTCTCTACGCTCTGGGGGCAGACATGTCTGTTTGCAGGAAGTGTTCAACGTGTCTCTGACTGCTGCATTCTATTGGTCAACACTGACCCCGCCCACTTGTGGTGCATTCACGGCAACTCGTAATTGGAAGATTTTGCAGGATAACAGTGGTTCCAAACCTTTTATAAGTGATTTCTTTCCTTCTCAGATTATTACAGAATAATGGTTTGATTTGTAATGTCCTGAAGAGGTGAAAGTATGTGAAAAATGACAATATATCTGAAATAAACAAAAAATATAACTAAACATAATTGTGTGTAATGGGCTGGAAACATTGAAGTATAAAAGTAAACTCATTATGAAGAAATAATGGGCTCTGTCTTTGTAACATAATAATACAAATAATAATAATAATAATAATAATAGTAATACATTCAATTTATGTAGCGCTTTTCTAGATACCCAAAGTTGCTTTATAGAGCAATAAACAAACAAATAGGAGATGTAGTGAATTGGAGACGTTACAAAGAAAAACTAATCTAAATTGTAATGTTGTAGCTGGCTTTAGTTGACGTTATTATAGTCATTGTAATGCAGTCAGCTGATGTAATTTACTGTATAACAATGAAATAAAAATCACTGGTAACATTATTCATTTAAAGGAGTATAATATTTCAAATTGAGAATTGGTTGATTTTGCATTCTGGACAAATTCATAATAAACATATAACTTAAAAAACACTCCTACTGACACTATAACTGTAATAATGCTCCAATTTATTTGACTGGTCACTGCTAATGAGTGCACTATAAAGCACTGATGCTGTTTTACATTATTATATGCGTCTCTGATGCTGGTTCTGCTTTACTAGGCTTGAGTCAGGCATACTATATCTGATTATCCCAGCATCAGTGCCCATGTCACCCGTCTTATGCAACATTTACAAAACATGCGTCAACATTTTTATATTTTTATAGTCTTTGTTACGCTTTTTGCATAGTATTTAAAAAAAATGTTGTTCAAGGATAAAGACTGCAATGAGGGTGCAAAGAGTCACAAGTAATACATTAAACCCTATTTGTATGTGCATTGCTTGTTTGCCTCAGGATATTACATGGCAGCCATGCGTGCTAGGCCAGGCGGACACAGGGTCAGAGATGCTTTATGCACTTAATATGCATGTCAAAGTGGGAGCTCTCCTACTATTATGTATTGCAGCAAATATGACCCTAAACAAATCTTTAAACATAACAACAACAACACAAAATAAACTAACTCCTTTCTCCCAAAAGAGAGACAATTTTGTGAGTATATTAATTATTGGTAATCTATGTGAATATATGTAAACAAAAGGACCTGCTGACTCACATTATAGCGCCCTTACACTTAATGTGTCTATTAAGTATTATTCATCATTATTACCGAGGCAAATAAAGCACATGCCTGGAAGCAGAGTTGAAAATGGGGTCAGGTTTAGGTCAGTCGTGTTTTGTTCTAACATTGCCTCTGGATAAAATCATCAAGGGTTTGTTAGGAGTACTGGGAGCTGAAATGGCCCATCTCATACACACATTCAAACATCAAATGTCTAAATGCAGCAAATTCTCAGTAAAATGTGAATAAATACACTTAACAGGCCTAGTGCACAGGGCTGGTTTGTAGTGTTAGCACTTATGAGCATGCAGACAAAGTGGATGCTTAGAGCACCTCTTTGAAAAGTAACATTTAGGGAAACAACACTTATTTTTAAATTGTGGAAAAGAAAACACAATGTGTTCATGAGATTGATGGACCAGTTTTTGAGTGCTCAAAAATGTCAGCTGTTAAATCCACTGCATAAATGCAACATTACAAAATATTAACTGCAAGTATCTTTTAAAGATCTTTATGTGCCTAGATAGTTGCATTGTGCCTGACACTAAGTTTCTTCTTCTTGTTATACTGAGTGCATCCAAAGTATATACATTGTAACCATCTGAAGTCATGACTGTTGAGTTCCTGTGGACTTACTGGCCTTGATTTGTGATAAGATTAGCTATCTCTCTCTGCATATCATAAACACTGTTAGGATCTGTGGACGAGTGTGTGCAGAGACTAAATATATGGCAGGCACTATGGAAACTCACATAACAAACGAAGATTCATCATATGGACATAAGCAAAGTTTTTTGGATTCATTTGGTTATGTAATAACTCTGCTCCACAGTTTCTCTTGAAATAAAACCACGTTGTACATTTTACTCTATAATCTATTCAATATTTATTTATATTCCATATTCCATATATTTTGAATATATATATATATTTGTATATATATATATATATAATATCTGCATGTATATTTTCTATTTCGACATGTATATTTTATATTTTATTTTATTTTTCTTTCTATTCTTGTATATTTTGTAGTTTTGTTTTATTGTAAAATGCCTTTTATGCTGCTGTAACAACAACAATTTCCCAATTTGGGATCAATAAAGTTCTATCTATCTATCTATCTATCTATCTATCTATCTATCTATCTATCTATCTATCTATCTATCTATCTATCTATCTATCTATCTATCTATCTATCTATCTATCTATCTATCTATCTATCTATCTATCTATCTATCTATCTATCTATCTATCTATCTATCTATCTATCTATCTATCTATCTATCTATCTATCTATCTATCTATCTATCTATCTATCTATCTATCTATCTATTAGGAGTAATTATGTAATGGGAGGTGTGTGGCGCAGTGGCCTAGTGCGTTGGTGTTCGGGTCAGGGGAGCACAGGTTCAAACCCCACTGCAGTCAGCATGTCGTTGTGTCCCTGGGCAAGACACTTCACCCCAAATTGCTCCTGTGGGGATTGCCCACAGTATTGAGTATGTAAGTCGCTTTGGATAAAAGCGTCTAACATGTAATGTAATGTAATATCCAAGAAGTGAAGATGGAAATGTTATATAGCTTTCTCTCTCCTTCCAGCTCATGACCTCAACACTGGTAGTTGTTGTTCCTATAGACAGGGGTGCACATAACTGGTACGCAGGTACGCATGCGCGGCACAAATCTGAATTGCGTAACGTCACTTGTGTCACTACGCGCCTTTGCGTACCTCAAAACATCAAAACAAAACACATATTTCGTCTACACGTGTTTCTTGTCAACACTCAATGGAGTAAACTACTAGGCATGTCAAAAAACCCAAAGACATTAAGCAGCTACGTTGCCGTTTCGCTCCCTGCAAAAAATCTTTCTATGACTGATTGAACTGGAGCTGGGTGAGCCGCGCAGGACATAACCGACGGACCTGTGAAGCTTTCCAGGAGGCACAGGCTTAGATCACTGGACGACAGAGTTGGTCGCCGTGTGCACAGACAGGGTTAACGTCGGTATAAACAACAGAATTGTGCCAAAAGTCCGCCAACTGGCTGCGGTGGGAGACTCCCCTGTGCACATTCTGTGCCCCGCGCACACACTGGAGAACTGCGCAAAATCATCTGATCACAACGTTCACGCTCTGTGGTCAAGCTGCTGCAGTTTTATTTACACCAAAGTGGAGTGAAACACACAGCTGCAAACTTACTCAGGGTGTTATGGAAGAGTTTGAAATCAGACAGAGGTGGAAGAAGTACTCAGATCTTGTGTAGGAATACTCAGTTACAGTAAAAGTCCTGCATTCAAAATGTTACTCAAGTAAAATTAGAAAAGTATTATCAAAATATAGTGAAAGTAGCGACAGTAAAAGTATTCATTGTGCAGATTGGTCCATTTCAGAATAATATATATGATATGTTTTATAATGATTGATCATGAAAGTGTTCTCAAAGCTGGTAAAGGAGCAGCTAGTTTGAATGACTTTGTATACTGCAGGGTAGCTTGTGAATTTACTCCAGGTGGAACTAAAGTCTGATTTAACACTTGATTAGATTTCACATCATTCATCCACATCTGTAAAGTAACTAAAGGTATTACATACATGTAGTGGAGTAAAAGTAGAAGTACAAAGTAGCATAAAATAGAAATACTCAAGTCAACTACAAGTATCTCAAAATTGTACTTGAGTAAATAAGTGTGCTTTGTTACTTCCCACATTTGAAATCAGATATGACTTCAAGTCATGTGATAATTTCTTAGTATTTGATCCTTCAACTTGGCCTCAGGAAATGCAAGGACTTCACAGTTTTGGCAACAAGTTTTGGAGAAAGCAAATCGGAGGCTTAAAAAGAGACAGGGAGGTGCATCTTCATCATCTTCATCATCTAGCATGCAAGAAGTGTAAATTGAGGACAGTGAAGGAGACACTGAGGAGGACCACGCTTCGTGTGGGGTGAGTACCAAACGCTGTCTCTTGGTACTCATCTGAGTAACTCACTAAAAAAGTTATGTGCACCCCTGCCTATAGAGCAGTTTAACATTTGGGATCATGACAAACGTTTCTGCAGGTAACTGTATGTGCACAGGTCTTTCTCAGCTAAACAAAACAAAAACTCTATAATAACAATGTTTTTTGTATTTCATACAGCTAGTTTACAGTTTGGGAATAATTATTTACATTTTAAAATAAAAAAAAGTAAAATCTTCTCGACAAAAAAGAAGAACAGGCTTGATAAAAATGGAAATATCTTGATAAAACATACTGTACACGTCTTTTGCCTCTGGATATCGAATGACTTCAGCTCCACGTCATTGCTCTCCAACTGAGGCATGAGCTCTGGGTGGTGGTCCGCAGTCATCCCCCATCGCTAACCAATTCACCCCAGGCCAACATCTGAGAGAAAAATAAATGGAAAAATTAGAAAAGAAAATTGAAAAAGAAACAGTCCAACACTCGGCCCGATTCCTTTGGTCTAACTAAAATAAATACATGTTTTAACATGACATAAACTAGCTGATATCAATATTTATTAATTCAGCTGAAAACACTTTTCTACCTTAAAACATTGTAAGATTTTGAATGCATTGCATTTAGTGTTTATTTTATTTTAGTACATATCTTAAATCTATACTTCTCTTACTTACTAATTATTTTTAAAATGTCTTCCAAGCATTGCAAGCCCGGTTAAAATGCCTCCTAATTCCCCACATATCAACGTTTAAATTGCAATAGCACAGGCAAGCTAAACAAACATCAACATATCAAGGAAACCGTATGCATGACTTTAGCTCATGCCTCAGAATCAATTGTCTTCTCCTTTGCCTCTCCTCTACACCTCTGAGAAAACACAACAATGAGACACATAGCAACACAAAGCCAACACCTTGTTTATTTGCCATGAAACTTAATTCACTGTCCCATCTTGGCATAAAGCAGAAGGTCCATGTTGATCATCACAAATAGGTTTTATCATGCCAGTGCAGCTGGTGCCATCTCCTCTGGGTCCTGATGAGAGGCGGCAGCAGCAGCTGCACACTGAGGAGCAGATGTGTCGCTCAGACCTGAGGATTGCCTGCAAGATCTTCTTCAAGACGTCACTGAAGATTCATTTGCATTAGCCTCTAGAATGGAAAAGCACTGTCAGAGGAATCTCGAGTCCATACGTCACGCAGAATCATTTGTTTGACATGTTGTTGTGCGATATCATTATTTAATTTTCAAATTCATTTTTTTAACTCAAACATACAATTGATCTTGTCATGACTAGGAATATAGAAACCAAACGGTGACTCATCTAATTTACTTTCGTCTCCATTATCTTTTACTTTCAAAAGAATGTGACGTCTTTAATTTGGCTTAAGACATAGGAGCATGTGAGCATTTTTAACAACCTCAATTACTGTCAGACCTTAAAGCTACAGCTCAGTCATGATGATTTACCCCTAAATCCCTCCTTTAAAGTCTAATAAGAATGAACAGTACATGCATTTGTATTATATTATCATCATAAAATAAATGTTGACAGACTCTTTTGTCACGCCTCTCTTCAAGGGGCATTCATTATTACGAGATGGGACAAAGTCATATTTACATAATTGTGATTCATATGACCCTTACATTTACACTGATGTATAACAGACTTTTTAAAACTATGTTAAAGAAATAGAAATGTAAAACTTCATCAAGGCACCAAATATTTCTGTTTAATGGACAGATTTAGCTATTTGCTTACCAATAAACCAACCTTTTTCAGACTTCAATGTAATGACCACATATTATGCACCATAAAAGCTTTCCTGATAAAATAAGGTGCATATTTCAACATGGCCGTTTAATGAATTGCATTGAGGTCGGTCACTCTGTAGCCGAATTAAAGCATTCCCCCTTTAATCTCCAACCTATGAAACGTTTGTCATGCGGTAGAAACATCCCGGCCTTGTAAGCAGTATGCTTGTCCAGAGTTATCCTGTGAGAAATGAGAAGGCTCCCGAATGACAAAGTTGTTCATTATTTAAGCTCTGAAATGGATTTATTATGTTATAAGAAAATGCTTGTTTTCCGACCAAACAAGGCCAACAAGCGGTGCTGCAGCCTCATCGTGGCCAATGATATCTATTTTCGACATGTAATGTATTAATGATCACCAAACATGTATAATCAGCACTGTAACATTCCTTAAAAAACAAATGGGATTCACTGTTGCACACACAGATAACACCACACTGACACTAACAGCTGTTGTGCTGTAGATTTGGATATGTTGTGTTAGTAGAAGCTGATGTAGCCTCGAGCCAAAACAATTTTTAACGCTTCAACCCCAGACTTTTTTCCTCTTTCAAAATGTGTCTTCAGACTCAACCGAAGTGACTTCACTTAAGACAATGTATCAGACTTTCCACAGATCCCTCTGGAGCCACAAAATATGGGCTCAGAACAGTCTCATAATACACACATGCACACAGAAGGATTCACACTTGTATTTCATGATCCGCAAAAGGATTCACACTTGTATTTCCGGATCCACACTTGTGTTTGTCAATGCACACACAAATGTGTTCCGTTTCATATACATGTAAATAAAATGCAAATACAGAAAAAAGTTTTACATGTGTATTTTTGATCCTCACATATTTGTTTTCCTTTTAAAACCTCTGCACCTACAAACACAAACCGCTTTCTGTGCATGGATCGCTGTGCATTCGTGTGTGGGTCTTTTGAGACTCCCCTGACGGTCACCCGATTCGTACTTGTCATTTTTTCTATCTATAGCCAATCAGATGTCTCCTCAATTCTAAGCCAATCACATGAGCGCGCCCCCACGAGGGTAGATTTCTTGCGTTCATGACGTAGCGCTTCATGTACGCATTTTGCGCTGTCCGGAGCTGACAGGTCCATGGAGCCTGCCTGCAGGCGCTAATCTCAGGACACCTCCACTCTCAGTACATTGCCACTTTCCGAGCAGGAAATGCACGCAAATACAAGCCTTTATATTATTAAGGTACAGTGCCACTTTCCGAACCATTAATGAATGCTTGTGTACATAAAAACGGCAGGCAAAACCGTTTTAAATGTATGTTTCCTGTATGGCGAATACAGCTGCTTTATTTAAGTCTGTATGAAGTTGTTGTGAGTGTGGAGGGAGCAGCTACAGGTTAGCTTAGCCTAATCGATCAGTGCACTACGAAGCCAGTGCTAGACAGTGAACTGTCAACGGGGGGAGCCCCGCCGGTCATTATCGGCCGATATTCACTCTTAATAGTTTGATCGGTGCTTTCTATAAAGGCCGATCAGGAGAGCTGGATCTGATCGATATGGACATAAACGCGAGTGAAGTTTTAGCGAGCTGCATGAGAAACTGACGGGCTGTCAGGAGAGAGGGAGGGAGAGAGGAAAATAGATGATCCTTACTCCCGTGTTATTAGCCATATCCGGTCATAGTCCGGTAATTACCTGCTAACGGAAACTCTGCTACACAATTCTTCTTCTTATTATTATTATTATTGAAACATGACCGGTAAGTTTCAAATTTGTCCGGTAAAATAAATTCTGTCGGCGGAAACCCTGCTCCGGACAGCGCAAAATGCGTACATGAAGCGCTACGTCATGAACGCAAGAAATCTACCCTCGTGGGGGCGCGCTCATGTGATTGGCTTAGAATTGAGGAGACATCTGATTGGCTATAGATAGAAAAAATTACAAGTACGAATCGGGTGACCGTCAGGGGAGTCTCAAAAAACCCACACACGAATGCACAGCGATCCATGCACAGAAAGCGGTTTGTGTTTGTAGGTGCAGCGGTTTTAAATGGAAAACAAATATGTGAGGATCAAAAATACATATGTAAAACTTTTTCTGTGTTTGGATGTATATGAAACGGAACACATATTTGTGTGTGCATTGACAAACACAAGTGTGAATCCGGAAATACAAGTGTGAATCCTTTTGCGGATCATGAAATACAAGTGTAAATCCTTCTGTGTGCATGTGTGTATTATGAGACTGTTCTGAGCCCATAACAAAAGGCTACTTTATCCACACATGCGGTAGTACTCCCCAAGTCCTTCAAACAGATGTGTCAATTGGTTAAAGTCATTTTAAAGGAAATGTACCCAAACAATTGCTGATACTTACTTCTTGAATGTGAAGATTTGCTGCTTTTCATGCATGCCCAATATGTCGTCTTCGTAGGAATGGGAGCATTTATTGACCATTCTGCATATGAATAAAATAGGTTGTTAGTTCCAGACCTATAAAATAACAATAACATTGGCATTGATGACCAAAAGCAAATATAATATGTGAATTAGGGGTGTTCATGTGTCATTTTTCACAAGTCAAGCGTTGAGACTACTGCCTTTGAGAAGCTCTTGAACAGAAAAGCAAGATTGAAAGTGCTGGTCCTGCAGGGGATTAAACAAAGAGTCCGTGTGGGCCTTTTTTCTTGAGTTTTAATAAAAGCACAAATCGGAACCTTGCTATTTATAATCAGACACATCAGACAGGCGTCCATTCACAGGTATTTCACAGGGGAAATACAGCAGGGGAGTTCCAATACAGGGATATGTGTGTAAGTGTGTGTATGTCATGTGTGCGGGAAACACATTCACAAATTAAGTATTTTGGTTAAAGTATAAAATGGTAGCAAATACACAGGTACAACTATTAGTATTCTGCAAGATTATTATAGTGGCAATATCACCATAAAGACCACAATTTAGCACCACAGGCACATGTACTTGAAGCACAATGTGAATACCATAGAATATGATTATTCGTTTATGCTATGAATGCCACTCTATAGACTGATCTAAATAAAAAAGTGTACTGCATGAGAGTAAGTCGCCTGGAAATAATGTCTCATTGCTGATAGGTTGTTCAGCTACACCATCCCCACTTGCGCATGGATTGGGCTAGTGCTCTTTTTTCTCCAGTTTCTCATTGGCTTTTGGTAATGATAGTTCCCTGCCATCATTTGCTCGTGCAGTTCTCAATGAATATTGTATGTGGTCTCTGGCTTTGGTGCTGATCATTTGAATGAGCGCGTCGCGAGGAGGAAGGTATCTTGGATGAGCACGCACACCAGATGATGGAATTTCTCTCAGAGACCGCAGCTGCTCGACCAGCACTGTCTCCCTCCGAGATGAGATAAGAAGAGCAGAGACAGCAGACCATACAGCGGGAAAGATGTTCTGCACGAAGCTGAAAGAGCTGAAGATATCAGGAGAGTGTCCGTTCTCCAGCAGCAGCAGCAGCGGCGCCCAAAATAATGAGCTCGGAGACTTTGAGGAGCGCTCAACTGACGCCGCGGATTTAATGCCTATTTCTAAAGACGTGCACGGAAAGATAGGTGAGGATCTACCTAAACAGAAGACAAGCAGAGCCAAAGTTAACCTGCATACACTTGGGCAGAGCATACGAAAATTGGCATGTCCCGAGGTGAGTTATCAAAAATAATGTATTCATATTCACATCATGCAACTTCTACAATATGTTACATTTGTGATGGAGAAAAAAAAGCATCTTGACTCCTGTTGTGTGTTTTCGCATTTCTGCCTTAACGCACAGACATCATGAATACTTAGTTAAAGATGTGCTTTTTATATGGCTTCAGAAAATACATTAATATATATTTTGTTGGCGTTCCTGAAATTAAAGCTGCTGTTTAGCCTTGCCAGACGATGACCTTTAACTCGCTTAACACTTTGTCATACAGTTTCAAAGGCTGCACACTGCTCTCCAACGAATGATGAGACTATCAGATCAAACCAGGGACTCTCAAAGGTAACACGTGTGTTTTTAAATACAGCTGCCATCAATAACAACACACTGATCATCCAACAATTAACACAACTAGTTCTGTAAATTATAGGCATTTACTAACAGATTAAAATGACAACCATGGTCAGGTTTCTCAGCGTTCGGCCCTCTGTTTACCTAACACAATCCATTACTAATCTTCCTTGCTGCTCTCACTAGTCTGATATTTATGATGATAACAACAATAAGGTGTGGTGCAGGCTGCTATGGATACCAGGAGGTAGATAGACATCCCTTACAAATCTGCTGAAAGACACATTATTATCCAAAATGGCAAGGAGATAATGACTCATTCTCCAAAAATGTCAAGCATTAGTTGGTTGCAGCTTTTCAAATGTGAGAATGTGCAGCTTGTTTGGGGGGCATAAATGATAGTAAACAGAATATCTTTGTGTTCTGGTCTGTTAGTCAGACAAGCAAGATAAGACATTTAAAGCTTTAGGAAAATGTAACTGCCCTCTTTCACTTTTTTTCTAGGCAAAGCAATGAGTGGATTAGTTAAAGAAATGTTAAGCACTGTATCTGATAATGAAAAACAATTGGTAGTTGTAACTCTATTATAGCGTATTGATTAAAAAATGAATGGTCCAGTGATTAGTTTGTGTCTGACTTTAATCGTTTTCACCTCGCAGTCCCATCATTTGCTGCACAGACTATCAGAGCTGCAGTGATGAACCAGAGCACTTAGTGGAAATGATGAACATGTACTCAACCAAAACAGGTAATTAAAGATCAAACTCTCAGCCTGTAAAAAATATATAAATTATATGTTTTAATTCTGTGTATTCAGGGCATCACAACTTCACCTATTTCCCTTCATCTGTCCTGACAGCAATCCAGATGGAAGCTTTAAAAGTTGCTCTTGGCGAGGAGCTCTTCAACATGTGTTATGAGGAGGACGGACACATTTTGGGGGTGGTGGGGGGGGCTCTCCACGACTTCCTCAACAGCTTCAATGTCTTGTTGAAACAGAGCAGCTCGACGCCCAACCTGGACAGAAAGGATTGTGTAAACGAACCTTCGGTGCTGTGCTTAGACAAGGATGCAGGTCTGCTTACTGTCTATTTCTTCAACCCCCGCCCAACTACTGAGCTCTTCTTCCCTGGAGTCATCAAAGCTGCTGCCCGCCTGCTGTATCACACCAGTGTGGAAGTGTTGATGGACCCCCCCCGGTGTTAAAGACAGCATATTGCAGTCAAGCCCGCAGCCTAGTCTTCTGTACACAGTTGTGGTTAAGGATGCTAAAGATCTGAGCCCCAGTCCGCTGCGGGCTACCTCAGCTGGGACCCTTCCTACCTCTCTGTTCTCCACCATCTTCCCTTTCCATCTGATCCTGGACCAAGACCTTGTTTTGATACAAATAGGACACGGGCTCAGGAAGAGACTGTTCAGGAAAGATTGTCCGAGACGGTCGTCTACCTTCCAAGAACACTTATCTATTGTCTCTCCCCAAATCAAATGTACCTTTCAAGGAATTCTGACCATGCTAAACACACAGTTCCTCATTCGGATCACACATGGATACTCCATCGCAGATAACACAGGGAAGGTATGTTGACATGTCTGGGAGATATAGCTTGAAAAGTGACGTCACTGACTAATGAGGCAAAAAATGTCTTCGGGTCATTGTCTTCTTGGTAAGATAGGGAGAAGAATCATGCTATTTATAAGCAGTCAGGCTTATTAGTGTTGTGTACTCTGGTGCGCCTGAGGTAGAGATCAACATTAGACCCCAACGGAGATCAGAAGCAAATGTCAAACCATTTTATCCATCAAAGGCACAGCCATGCTTGTGCTATTTATGTGAGGTTCCAGAGCATTGGTCGCCATGACAAGAATTTTATATCAGTGAGTAAACATAGCAGTGGTTTAAAGACATTCAGCCAGAGATGATTACTATAACTATAACACTACTCGCCTCATGGTCATTTTACTGTTAGTGGCTACAAACTCTAACTAAAAAAAGGTTAACATTCATAAGTGCATTTGTCTATTTCATCTGGGTTCACAATATTTGTCCACTTTGTACATAAGTGGCTAGGTAAAAAGAAATTCTGTTACCAAAAAAATAAAAATCTATATCGATGGGTATATTGTTGTTACAACAGTCAAGAAGACATGTCTAAACTTAGAGAGAAAAGCTGAGGTCCAGAGATATTGTTTGATCTTTGGTCATGGTAAAGTAAATGTAAACAGAGGCAAAAGTACTGTTGATGCTGTTGTGTAAGTCCTTATTAGTCCTATTAGTAATAAACCAAAGTTCTAGATAAATTAAAACGTTGACCTCGTGATGGCAGTAGATAAAGGGTCAGGAGATCAGTTCACAAAGATGTATTCTATATCGGTGAAAAAGGCAACACATCAAGATCAGATGACGAGGCCTGTAACTTTGATCCAAAAACGTCAACCTCATTGTGACTCCAGAGGAAAAGGTAGGGAATGATGAAATTCAATAGGTTTAAATATTTGGAATAATAAACATCTGTATGAATTTGCGTTGCTAAACCTACAATAGTTGGTTAGAGTATTCCGACCATGGCTTGTTAAAAATGTACGTTGAAAAGACCGGATTGTTTTAGATTTTTCTCCTGGAACATAAACAAACCATTTGGAGTTGTTTACTGTTGTGGGTGAAGGACTGCAGCACCTTCGTGAATACCAGACAGACATGTTTGCTTTTATTTACTTCAAATGTTTAAATGTCTATATATGTTTACATAGGGGGTATATTGTATATTGTATATTTTCAAGGGCACCGATGTCACATGGAGAAGCAACATTATTGTTCCTTGTTTGTCTGTGGGAATTGTGAACTCTAATAAGAAATACTTTTACATATAATAAGAGTCTGTTGCTGCAGTATGTAGCCTTCACAGTTATCGTTATCAATCTTTTTTCAAAATGAATTCATTCAGCTATACATAAACAGGTACAGTTATACATAGCAAATGTCACAAAAGTATTACTTTTCTGATCATCTGATTTTTCTTTCAGCCTATGGACCTCAAAGGTCAGATGATCTACGTTTCAGAGTCAAATGTCATCTTGTTCTTGGGCTCACCATGTGTGGACAAGCTGGAGGAGCTCACTGGCCGTGGCCTCTACCTGTCAGACATCCCGATACATAACGCACTGCGTGATGTGGTGCTGGTTGGTGAACAAGCCAAAGCTCAGGACGGTTTGAAGAAGCGTCTGGGGAAGGCCAAGGCCGCCCTGGAGCACGCTCACCAGGCCCTGGAGGAGGAGAAGAAGAAGACCGTGGACCTCCTCTTCTCCATCTTCCCTGGCACTGTGGCACAACAGCTGTGGCAGGGCCAGACGGTGCAGGCCAAGAAGTTTGACCGCGTGACGATGCTCTTCTCTGACATCGTGGGCTTCACGGCTGTTTGCTCACGCTGTACCCCGATGCAAGTGATAACCATGCTCAGCGAGCTGTACACCAGGTTTGACCACGAGTGTGGGGAGCTTGACATTTATAAGGTGGGTAAATGTAATATAAGTATGTACTGTTGAGCATTGTTTTTGAGATGATGACAAGGCTAACACTTTAGACCACACCTGTTTCTGATCAATTAGAAACGGAATCTGCAACGGCTCAGCCCCAAATACATGATTATTAAGAGAGATCTCATCTAGATGTCTTTCCTGTAATGCTTAAAAGTTATTTTCTGTACTTCTGACACCCCATTAATGTTACAACTCTGCCTCCAAATGTCTACACTGCCAGACACATTTTCTTTGCGTTTCTCTGCTGCAGTCAAATGCTATGACAGATTTTGATATTTGGCCAACAAAATACTCCAAAATGCATTAATAAGGACAACACCTCTGTGTCCTCAATGGTACAGTAGTTATTGCCCTTCCAGCCGCTGATATTGGTGGAAAAATCAAATGTAATATGTATATTTAAAATCTACAGTAGTGCACAGATTGAAAAAAAATATGTACTTTTCTGTATCTAATAATAATAATGAAAACAATTAATAATAATACCACTACTATTACTACTACTACTACTACTACTAATACTACTACTACTACTACTACTACTACTACTACTATAACTACTACTTCTGCTACTACTACTACTACTACTACATCTACTACTACTACTTCTGCTACTACTGCTGCTACTACTACTACTACTACTACTACTACTACTACTACTACTACTACTACTACTACTACTACTACTGCTACTACTACCACCACTGCTACTACTACTACCACTTCTGCTACTACAGCTGCTGCTACTACTACTACTAATACTACCACCACTGCTACTACTACTACCACTTCTGCTACTACTGCTGCTGCTACTACTGCTATTACTACTACTACTACTACTACTACTACTACTACTACTACTACTACTACTACTACTACTACCACTCCTACTACTACTACTACCAATAATAATGACAATAATCATAATAATAAAAATAATAATAATGATAATAATGATAATAATAGGTACTAAATACATCAGAAACTGGCATAGGGTTTATGAAGTTAAATATTTGCCTACGTTTAATAGAAATTGTGTTTTCCATTAAACAAGATAACACACTATTCCTGAACAGGTTGAAAAGACAGACTGAGAGTATAGCTCAACAAACTACCCAGTGTCTGCCAAGGGCTGCTAATCTCCAGGGAGGTTTGATAATGTAATCAAAGTGTCATGAAAGCATAACACAGAGAGCAGCATGTTTGACAAATATCTCGTAAAACGCAAGGAAGTCAGAGGTTCCTTCAGGACCCTGTTTCCACTCCACATGTATGAGCCTAAAAATAGTTTCACTTTGTCTCTGCCACATAGCCGTTGAGTGCTCTCCGGTCCAGAATTACTCGTTCCAAGAAGGAGAAAAAAAACCCTTGTGGACTTGTTAATATGCTCAGGGATCAAGCACTATTAAAATGTAAGTTTTATTACGCCTGAGTTTTCTGCCCTTTGTCTTCTGCTGCAAGATGGAGAGCAAGTCAGATTGTGAAGAGACTTTTATGAATATCCACTTCACATTGTCATCTCGCTAAAGTTTTATAGTTTTCTCTGTGTCAGTTGCCGGGTTAGAAATTATTTTAATGATCATCGGCTGTTTCCAGGTGGAGACCATTGGTGATGCGTACTGTGTAGCTGGTGGCTTACACAAAGAGAGCGAGACTCACGCCGTCCAAATTGCACTAATGGCCTTAAGGATGATGGGGCTCTCAGACGAAGTGATGACGCCAACTGGAGAAAAAATACAGGTGAGGGTCAAGTATTGATTGGTGTCATACTCATTAATCAACTTGATGATGTAACTTTAAACTATGCAAATGAGAACTCATACAAACACTCTATTGAAGTTTAATTTGATTTATTTCATTTTTTTTTTTAAATCTTATATTTTGAAAAGAAGAGAAACCCCTTCTATAACAAAAAGCTGCTGACATTAAAATGACGATTTTAATGTCTTATATTTACCATAATAAACCAGTGAATAAATTAAGAAAGCAACTACCTACCTACATGATTTAGGGTGTGACTGTTATATTATAACTACAAAACATTTATTAGATGGGAAGTATTAAGATATGTTAACTATATAAAAGTAAAAAGTAAAAATCGCAAATTCTATTTCATCTAAATATCCAGCCGTACTAAGTATGGTGTCTTGGATTGAGATGTTTGATTCAAATATTTCAAAGTCAAATAGATGATACGTGGCATTTATTTTGTCCAAAAACAGTCACATATTAAGATGTTTCTCCTCTTCATGTCAGTACGCCCCTAATTCACAGAAGTATTACACACTACAGTTGCTCCCGTAAATTGGTCAGTAGGGTCTAACAAATATTGCAATTTAATTCATTTCCTAATTAAACAATTTTTTGTAAATGTGTGTGCATTGCTTGGAGTAGCTTCTTTTTTGCCTTTGTTCACACATTGCTTAGCTTCTTTGCACCTGACAGCCATCTAATTGAAGATGAGTATAAAATCGTAAACTGAAAGGCAGGAATATGCATGTGCGCTTATATGTAAGTGGTCATGTGCGTGCATGATATAAGCTAAAGGTTATCCCACAAATAATACCACGACATAGTGCTGCTAGTCGTCCAAAAAAAGGAGTATGTTAGGGACAATTTTCAGCCTCAGAATTTGGCACTAGCGAGACAGCAGCAGGATGATGTGTATGTGGGATTGCTTGAATAATCCATATTTTAACTTTTCAGACTATACCTGAAGAAATATAGGATCTGTATTCATTTCATGACCAAAACTACAAGTGTGTATGGTTCAAAAGTGGAGCAACTTTGATGAACAAAAGCCTGAATCGTGTTGAATGTTGTATTTTCCATCAGATGCGCATTGGTGTGCACACTGGTTCAGTACTGGCTGGGGTCGTTGGAGTGAGGATGCCACGCTACTGCCTTTTCGGGAACAATGTCACACTGGCTAACAAGTTTGAATCTGGTAGCCTGCCTAGCAAAATCAACATCAGCCCTACAACCCACAGGTGAGGTAACACAGGTTGCAAATCACTCTTGCATTTACCATTAGAATTACAATGCTTACTTATAACCCCCCTCTTAGATTACATTTGACTGAAAGTATTGTAAATTAAAGTTCTGTTTGAAGTGGTTAGTTACCAGAACCGTTTTTTTCAGAGGGAAAAAAACATAGTGCTCTGAACAGGAAACTACATTTTAAAAGAGCACTGTGTTTCCTCTTGTGTCAAATAATTTGCCATATTGTCTTTAGATTCATGTTTTATTTGTGTTCTCTTTTACTCAGATTTCTGAAGCACCGGCCAGAGTTTGTCTTTGTTCCCAGGAGCAGACAGGAGCTTCCTGCCGACTTCCCAGAAGACATCCCTGGTGTTTGTTACTTTCTGGAGCCGTCCTTCAAAACTTCATAACTGACTATGAAATAAAGTCAAGATGCTGCAGAGCCCAAAAATGTTAGATTTGACGAAATATAAATGTATCCAGTGAACACAGTGCGAACACCTTATATATTTTGTTTAAGTTTGTTTAGATATTGATGATATTGTCTATCAGTCAAACTCTTGCAGCTGTTAATAACTGACATGTCAGTTTGCTGTCAAACATGAGTCTTGTCTTGTCTCTGTAAAATGATCCATATGTAGAGTGTAGCGCAGAGAAAAACTCACTTCCTTCATTTTTCTTCCAGAAGGAGTCATGTCTGCAAATTTGACTTATAGCTTATGGCTTTGTTGACTGTTGTTCATTTCAGAATTTTGGCGTACAATCGTTTAAGTCAGTAGCTGCTTCAGGACTGCTGTAAATAATTAAACATATCGTCTTGCATAATATGATATTACATTTTGGATGTTTATTCTCAATGTGATGTTACTAAACATGTTTCTTTTTTAACGAGATGGTTTTCTGTAAATATTGGACCTACTACATTCAGATTTGTCCATTAGGCACCTGCAAAAACTACATTGGCCTTTTGGTATGGCAGAAAATGTAAGACTGTATTGGTTTTGTGAGTTTAATGGGAGCATTTATTAACAAATAATTTGGAAGAAATTACGAAATGATAATGTTAGGGACCCCATTGACTTTTTAAACTTAGATTCAGAGCAGATTCAGGTGAGAAATATACAGGCAGGATATTATATTTTTCATTTTATTTAAGCTGTTTTTCTTTATATAGATATGGCTCAATATTTCTTCCAGAGGTTTATTATTTCAACTCAGATTATATTTGTTATAACATCTTACATAGACTTCCATTTATTACACACAAAGCATTCTAAGATTGTGATTCCTGATATAATTAATGTATTTTTTACTTTTTCCCCACTGCACACATGTTTATACTATATTTATTACGTTGGGTTCACAGTAGTCCTTTCCTTAACAGCGGGAATACAAGACAACACAAATACAATGAATGTTCTACTGTATCCCTCATAATGATGTGCTTTAATCATTCATGTAATGTAATGTTATCAAAGCGCAATAAATATTGATATTCAAATACGTGACTCTACAGTGTGTAAAACATAGAATTCAGATATTTAGAAATGTGCGATGCTTAATGAGCATTATGATATGATATACAATGGTGTGAAGTAGCAAATTACATTTTCTAAAGTAATAGGCCTTTCTATATCTGTAATTACACGTTTCAAGTACTATAACATTACTGTACTAATGAACTTCGATTTTACATTATACTTCTGCTTCACATACCCTGCAATTAAATGTAACATATTGTACAATACATCTACTACAAATCATGATATTACAGCTGTAGTTACTTGTTAATTTGGAGATTAAGATTTAATAAAAAAACAGCTCAATATATTGACAATGTATTGTAGTGACAGAACAATCCATAAAGCACATAAAGTTGTTAGATATAGCTTCCTTTTGACATTTTACAGCATTGAATTGTTCTTTAGATGTTCAATCATCAACAATGGTGAATTAATAATGAAGTTGTCTAATATATATTAATGTTCCCTTCTGAAAGGAGTCATTTTACTCTTACAAGTACTCTTGTTTTTGTCACTGACATGTAAATACAGTATGTGTGGAATTGACTTTTGTTACTTCAGCTGTAATAAATCTTTTTGCAACTAGTATTATTATTATCACTTAGAAGTACATTTTAGTGATAATACATGCTAATGACCAGAAATATATGTTTGCATTTTTCACTACATTTTCAATAAAGGACTCTTTTATTGTAGAAAAATGTAAGGAGCAGCATTTGTTATATAAAGTAAAGTACTTTTTTCAAATGTTGATAAGATATACATCATACATGTTTTTAAAGATATCTATCTATGTTTTGTTTTTGCTACAGTTGGCAGATATGATTAGTTGTAAAGTTCATAGTGTAACACATGATGTTCAATATCAGAAACGATGTAGCTGCCTGCGGTGAATTCAGGTTCACTAGCATCAGTTGGACAACGCAGCTGCATTCTCATTGGTCAGGGGGTTTACGTAATCCCGGCTCTGATCTGCTATTGGACAGATTCGCTGTCTGTTACCAGCTGAGGGAAAAAAGGGGGAATGGGCGCAGAGACACTCAGCATCTGTACCAAACGATGAATGTTGAGTCACATTCAACGGATTTTGCTTAAAAATAAGGGAAAAGAACAGCTACTGTCATCATGGTATGTTTACTAGGATTTTGTATTATGTATTATTGCTGGTAATATAATGTGTTCGTCGCTCGACGTGGTGTATTTGCGTTAGACATTTCCTGATAGAGACCGCTATGTAGTAGCAGTCATAGCCTACAATAATTGTCTTGTTATACTGAACTGTATTAGGATTATAATTGAACAGAATATGCATGCACATATATTTTTGTTTAAGTATAGTTTTAGGATACAATATATTGTGTAAACACATGCATATATATTTCTAGTAAAGTTACCATTAAATAATATTCACGTTGCTCGTGGATTTTCCATAATTGTTTGTATTTATACATTTACAGTATGGTTTTGTGAATCACGCCTTGGAGCTCCTCGTTTTGAGGAATTACGGCCCGGAAGTATGGGAAGACATCAAGTGAGTCTCTGGAGTGTGTGTTTACTATTCGGCCCCGTTGGTATCATAGGTTACACTGTGGCCAAGCAGACCAACAGGGACACACAGGGCTACTGTACTCTGACTCACTGTAATGATTAACATCCATCCTGCAGGCTCACTGACATTCAGATAAAGTTAGCAAACATCACATTTATATTCTGACCCATAAAAACTCTAATTTTAGTCTGGAGCTTCAAAAAAAGGTAGGAAATGAAATTATGACCACAACCGAAATGTTTGATAGTGAATAAAAGTGTTACCAAAAAAATATGCAAAAATACGGACAAGTAGGCTATTCAATTGAAAGTACACATAATGCCTGCCATTATTCCTTGTGGGTGCTATATTATATTATAAGATATAATTTACAAATATATTAATTTTTTTATACAATTTTATATGTGTAGCTGGTTGATGTTAAAATTCATCTGTTGGGCTTTATTTACTTATTTTTGCGTTGGTCCACTGAAAAACAATGCATCATATTTAAAAAATGTGTGATAAAAAAACTGCTAAGTAGTAACTCAATCTGTCAAATAAATACAGTGGAGTACCGTTGGAAGTACAAAGCAAAATAGAAGCACTCCAGTAAAGTACAAGTACCTCGTAACAGGACCGTAGACAGGGTTTTATAAATATTGAGGTCATTTGTCAGAAACCTGCCATTCCCCAAAAAAAGGTAACCAGGGACCTAAAATAAAATTCTCACAGTTCGTTTAAATGTATAGTATTTCTTTATAAATTTGAAAAGTTTTGATAAAATAACTTTTATTCCCCAAAATGACCCTCCAAAAAGATTAACTTTTAAACTTCGAATAAAAACTTCACAGGTTTTGAAGACCTTTATCAACATGTTTAATAGGTTAAATCTATATGAAATCACTATATTAGGAGACACTGGACAGGGACTGCCAGGAATACGATTCTGGTGGGAAAAAGATGGATCCTATATTTATTTCTTTATTTGTCAGACTACAAGTATATACACAATATCCCCAGATGCAGAATGTAAACTCCATCCAAGTTGCAAAAAACCCAAATTCCCAGAAGAAATACAAAGGGTATGACCTCAATGGTAGCTCTGTTCCTACTTCAAAGCTTAACTTCAGTTCAATATTTAACTGAATCTAACAATATACTGAATATTCCAACATTCCTAGGCTATTAACTGCATTCTGCAAACCTTTTGTATAATATAGGAAGCATATGGTACACCCCATTACAACATTTAGACGTACCGTAGGATGAATGTCTTCCACTATAATAGTAACATGTCATTTTTCAGCTTATTGAAATGTTTGGTTATAAGTGCACCAGATGTGACCCTGCCTAAAAAAAAAGAAGAATTAGAAAAAACATTACAAAAAACAGCCGCAGCTGTCTTGTGTAAATGTTTTTAAAGTGGTCCTTCTTTAGCCATCCAAAAAACACTTGATCTGTGCTGCATCTTGTGTTATCTTTGCAAATGTTACTCATAGTTTTTTTACACACAATTTATCATTGTTGGTCTGTTTTCAGACCTTTGATGAGCTGGATCATTTAAAAATAAAATCTTATTTTCTTTTGAAAAGCTTTCAAGGCTTGGTATGTGTGTTCAGCTGTTACACATCCTGATAACATGGTGGCGGCTGCTGAGGCCTGTAAATCACTTTTGTTTTCTCAGTTAAACAGTACTAATGAGAACATCATTAAGTGTTCGGACAATATTGTAGAAAGTGGGTTGTAAGATGTATAAATAGCAGATGCTCTCTGCGCTCTGATCAGCGTTATATCAAAACCTGAAAATCTGCACTTGTTCAAAAGTTTAGCTTTAGGACCACACAAACACTTCAAAGCTATATGGAAACCTTTTTTATTACTGTAATACAAATCAAGAAGACTCCTACTGTCGGCCACACACGAGACTAATACGTCCCGTAAAAATACTGTAACAATTAAACCTCTTTTGAAAAGGCAAATGCATGAGTTCAAGGTTTGTTTCTGCTTAGATATTTGGTAATGACTGAATGCTTCATTTTGTTTTCAGGAGGGAGGCTCAGCTTGATATCGAGGGTCAGTTCCTCGTTAGAATCATTTACGAAGACGGCAAAACATACGATCTTGTTGCTGCTGCAAGTAAAGTTCTCAGTAAGTGACAGCATGGTTGTTTAGTATAACAAATACTACAGTATATATGTGGGGTATATAACACAATCAAAAATGTGTATTGTTTTCCGGGATACTGATGAGATCCTTTATGTATTTCAGAGATCGATGCAGGAGACATCTTGCAGATGTTTGGAAAGATGTTTTTCGAATTTTGCCAAGAGTCAGGATACGACACCATCCTGCGAGTGTTGGGATCCAATGTTCGTGAATTCCTGCAGGTAAGCTGTCTCTTTGCATGTAGAAAAAGTGGATACTACTAATCTAATGGTTTGTAAATATGCAATCTTGAAAGGGCACTTCACTGATTTTAGACATGGGAGTCTGTTTACATATCTCTAAGAGTGCTGCTCAGCCAATGGAGAAAATAACCCTTGACGATGTCATTGGGGTCATCTAAGTTTAGCTGTGAGACTTTGATTTTCTCACATAAAGCTAGTGTTTATAACTTGGGATGAAGAACTTGAAAGACGTACAAAATCGACCAGGAAATAAGGGTCAAATTAATTTTAATATTTCATGTTTAATGTACTTACTTAACTTATTATATCCCAGCCAGGCTTGAATGAACTTTGATTGAAGGTTGCATAATTCATCTATATTTTCA